TAAATGGATAAATAATCTAGCCTGTCATAATGTACCTTCTTATGTTCTTAAGCCTTCCCATCTGCCATACAGGGATAATAATATTGACTTACCTTCCTGGACCGTTGAAAAGGCTGAAAGAAGGTAGACACAGAAGGCTGAGTTACATCGTTGAACCCTGGAATAGCAATATTCATTGATTCACAGGCAAAATGGCTCTTCACCTCACGTGCTGCCAAATTTATTGGAAGGTTCTGATATTCAGACTCTAAATTCGAATCACTAATACTCAAATTATTTTGAATATAGAAAATAATATAGCACTAAGGTTCAGATCCAGCTGCAAAATAATGTGGGACATACACTTTGAAATGACTATGACATCCTCAATATTATCCACATTAAGAAAAGTTTCATTAGCAAAGAGAACAGGTTTGGCAACGGCCTCTGGTATGCGAGAAATAGAAATACAAATTGTAGGTTTGTATACTGACAACAGCATTGTATCATGCTGTGTAAAAAAAAAAATGAAAATATGGATTATCTAAAAATCAGCATGAGTGAAGGCCTGTGGCGGCAGAGTTGAAGCAGACATCTTTTTTTCAGCTTAAGCCAGTGATCCCCAACCTTTCGGCTCTGCGGACCAGCAGAACGGGGGAGGGAGAATGGTTACCTGTGAGCGGCAAATTGAGCACACGTGTTGGATCCAGCTCTACTTGTGCCCTCCCACAAATGGAGCTGTGTTTGTGTGTGCGGTTCACACAAGTGGAGCTATGCGGACATGCGTGTGCTGGTCTGCTTCTGTGGCCCAGTTCTGAACAAGCTGCAGCCCCGTGACATGGAGGTTGGGGACCCCTGCCTTAAGCAATTTTTAGGGTTTTTCTATTTAGCCTGATGAAAAATTCTGGAAAATTTTCAGATGGTTCCACATACTACTTTGAATAAAATATCGTCTAACCATGGGTTTTGGATTTTCGGAGATCTACCTTTGTTTTGAATATGAGATTTAACATTGATAACATACTTTTCTGAAAAATAACAAGTAGGGGTGGGGAAAAGGAGGGTAGTTTGGATAAACATAGATTTAAGATACTTTTCTTTAAAAATAAAGAGACTTTATAGAACCTGTACAATACATTTCCAATATATTTCCCATCTTAATAAAGATGTTCATTTGCCAGTTTGACTAGGACTCGTAAGAGATGACATGTGATTAACTAATATTTTTATCATGCTCTGTTTTAACGATGGTTCACTGACCAAGTCATAAGATGGGGCCACCACAATACGGCCATAGCAGTGGTGAAATGCTACCGGTTTGCACCGGTTCGGGTATGTTTCCTCCAAACTGGTATTTCCGACGATCAGCTGTACCGCACGATTTAAAATTGCTAGAAAGCAGGAAATTCTCGCTGTTCTACTTATCTTCCCAAGCCGCCTTTTTCCACACGAAACACACGTTTGGCATGTATTGCGCATGCATGCGCAACATGCATTTGGTGTGCACTGCACATGCAGATTTCACCACTGAGCCATAGTGCTTATGTACAGCCCAGGTAGTCCTCAACTTACAATCACAATGGAGCCCAAAATTTATGTTGCTAAGTGAAAATTTGTTAAGTGGGATTTGCCCCATTTTATGACTTTTCTTGCCACATTTGTTAAGTGAATCACTGCAATTGTTAACTGCAGTTAGTAACATGGTTGTTAAGTGAATCTGCTTTCCTCATTGACTTTGGTTGTCAGAAGGTTGCAAAAGGGGATCACATGACCCTGAGAGACTGCAACGGTCATAAATGTGAGCCAGTTGTCAAGCATCCGAATGTAAATCGCGTGACCATGGGGATGCTGTAACGGTCATAAATATGAAAAATGGTCATATGTTACTTTTTCAGTGCCGTAACTTCAAACAGTCACTAAGTGAACTGTTGTAAGTCAAGGACTACCTGTAGTAGGTTCAACATAACACCTCCATTCTGATATAATGTAACGGGTTGAATCCATCCAATGAGTCTGGATAGTTTCTTCTTTTCGTCTAAAATCTCAAATGCATTTTGCTATGCCTTTGCATATCCTACCTACAATCCACATTTTCATCAGTATGAGGTCTATTATCTACATCTGCCTCTCAGCTCTGTGTTAACCCATAAAAGCCTAGCTTTGTTTGTCCTTCCCTTGACAGGTAAACATGTTTTTATTCAGGCAGGCACGTAGGCTTTAAGATGATATTACTGAAATAGATTTTAATTGGTGAGTTACAGTAAAGCTGCTTCACTGATTATTTTTAATTGTTAATGTTTTCATTCTAATCCTGTTTTTATCCACAATAGCATTAGCTGCTCCGCATGTTTTTTTTCAGAACAACAGAATATAAATTTAGCAACAAGAAATTCTAGCTGCCATAACAGATTGCTTCCCCTCCTCCCCCCTCAGTCTAAGCCTTTGTGTGAGGCTCATTATTCAGCTACCACAATTCAAAACCACTTACCATAACTTTTTTGTTGTAGGGTACTATAAAAATGAGAGCCAGTTTGGCGAAATGATTAAAGAGGCCAAGTTGAAGCCAGGAGAAGGTGAGTTCTAATGCTGCTTTAGGCACAGAAGCCAGTTGGGCGACTTTGGATCTTCTTTTTTTTCCTAGGAAGGAGGCAGTTGCAAACCACTTCTGAAAAATACTATCAAAAGGGGGCGGAGGGAAACCCAACACCCCACACATCGTTTGTGTAGTTGCCAGGAGTCAAGATTGACCAAAAGGCACAAAATACATATAGTAGAAGCAGCCTAGATTGTGAGAGAAATGTGTCACAGTAGTCATGACCAAGTATTTCCCAGATTCAGAAACTGTGTTAAATACATTAAGGTAATTTAGAAATGGATGATAGGAAAGTCTAGAATCGGATGCAAATGACTTGTCAGTATGGGCTGGATGGTAGGCATTGCATTCAGCCAGTTTGCTGATGAAACTACAGCAGACTGACACAGCACAACAAACCATGCCATAAAATTGAAATTATACTTGGCTAGTCATCATCTGCTCTACCTGGCAACATCTTTAATATCCCAAAAGAATACCATTTAATTTCCTTTGAAAAAAAAACCAATGAAGGTACATTGACTTACAGCCATTACACTGAAGTTACAACAGCATTGAAAAAAACTAACCAATAAGGAGTGATGGGTTCCTCCCGGTTCGGCCCAATTCTGCCGAGCCGGTAGCGGTGATGATATGACATCACGGAACCGGTTCTGCCCCCCACCCACTGCCCGCGTTATTCTTACCTTTTATTTGGCCCCATCCCCAATCTATTGCTGCCTCCTGAGTCCCAGCTGATGGGCTATAAGGAAAAAGAAAAATGTTTAAACTCTTGCCTTGGGGCTTCAAAGGGCTGCCCTACAGCTGATCAGTGGTAAAAGGCAGTTTGGATGTAGACCAGTGCCTCCAAAAACAAATGATTAGACAGGTGCCTGCAAAAATAAATGGGTAGACCGGTGCCTGCAAAAATAAATGGGTAGACCCAGTGCCTGCAAAAATAAATGGGTAGACCAGTACCTGCAAAAATACATGAGTAGACCAGTACCTGCAAAAATAAATGGGTAGATCGGTACAGCTCTGCAAGCAGTTCAAAGCCTGGTAGACTAGTACCTCTGCTAAATCCTAAAGAATTATCACATGACCATCAAGCCACACCCACAAAATAAGCCATGCCCACAGAACCGGTAGTAAAAATTCTTAGAACCCACCCCTGAGTGCACCCCCATAATCACATGATCAAAATTTGGGCACTTGGCAACCAGCATGCAATTTACAATCGTTTGGGGGGGGGGGTGTCTCATGCAATTGCCATTTGCCACCTTCTCAGGCAGTTTCAGACAAAGTCAATGGGGGAAGCTGAATCCATTTAAAGGCAGCATGATTCACTTAACAGCTGCTGTGATTTTTTTTTTTTTCACCTGGCAAAAGTCCTAAAATCAGGATCGAATCATTTTAACTGCCTCAGTTAGCAATGAAATTCTGGTTCCAATTGCGATCAAGAAGATTACCTGTAAAAGCAGAAACAAACAGATCTCCAGCCTTTATTTGAGACAACAGGCGATGAAAGCTAGGCAGCCTGAGATGCATGGAGAAAAGTTCTACGGTAATACCGACTGCACATCTGGGCATCAATGGCTAACTACTCTGATATATTGTGAACATTATGGAAAACATGATATTTACTTACGCAGAATAGAAATATACATCAGTAGGAGGCAAGCGCCCCCTAGTGATTGCTTAAATGACGTCCACAAATTAAGTTTCAACTAATGACCATTTCTTTACCGATTTTTATACAAGTATTTTGCAGGCTTGCAGTATTTTTCAGTAGGGAGACAGATTAAATCTGCGCCCCCTGTTAAACCAGGTCAATTAAAGGTCAAAAATGTTCTGCAAAAACATTATTCGGTGGCTAACAAAAAAAAAGAGAGAGAGAGAGAGAGAGAGAAACTTAACCAAGTTTTGTATCAGCCCGCAGACTCCCTTCTGTAGCTTGCAGTGTAAAAAGGCGAGAAGAGAGGAAGAAAAGACGGACTCGCATTACACAATAAACTGCAGAGGTCTTCAAACTTGGCAGCTTTAAGACTTGTGGACTTCAACTCCCAGAATTCTCCAGCCAGCTACCTGCCTGCTATCTAACGTATTTCAACTCCGCAGGTCGTGAGAACGCAGAAGCTGGAGGGGGGGGAAAAAAAATAAGGAAGAAGTCACGTGGCTTTAAAATGAAGACCCGCCCATTGGCCGGCCTGTCTGTAAATCACCACCCTTCCAAATCCGCCTCCTCTCAGCCTTCTTCCGGCAGAAAGGGCCGGTCTAGGACTTGGAAAGCTCTGTGATCTCCGACTTCCCGCCCCTCCTTTTGGCTCAGAGATGGCCCTTTCTTGAACCTGCACGGCCGCCGTAGGGACATTTGCGTTACCAAGCGTCTTGACGTAATTTGACGCAGCGTGTGGCGGTCTTGCCTCCCTGTTAGGGCGAGGGTGGGGGTGGGTGGGCGGGGGAGGGAGGGAGGAAAGAGGAAAAGGAGGAAGCAAGATGGCGGAGGCTTCCCCGCAGCCGGGACGGTATTTTTGCCACTGCTGCTCGGCCGAGATCGCGCCGCGCTTACCGGTGAGGAGGGAAAGGGAAGGGTCGGTGGGGATGGTAATACCGGAGCTGATCCGCCTTCAACTTGATGTCCTCCTGATAAGCTGGGGACTGCAATTCCCACCGTCCCCATCCAGCATGGCCGTTAGCCTAGTGGCTGAGAGTGATGGGAACTGTAGTTTTGAAATGTATGGAGAGTGTCAAGTCGCCGAAGCCTGATTTAAATCCTTTTGATCTTCATTCCGGTTTAATTCCCCCACTTGGTAGACCTCCAAGGTAGACTAGCCGTATACATGGAGGATCCACTGAAAGTGGGAAGGTGGGCATCTGTGCCTTTTCCAGATTTTTTTCCCCCCCTTAGTCGTTTGCTCTTCCTCTCACCTGTTCCTGCTGCTCGGTGGGAATTATGGGTCTTTGAGTCCAGCGTGTGTGTGAAACAGGCCAGGCTGTGGGGGTGGGGGGGGAGAGAGAGAGAGACTGGTTTCACTTTTGATACTGTCAGAACAGGAGTGATGAGCCTTGTAGGCCTCCAGATAATTGGATCGAGCTGCCCCTGCCTGTGGAGGGGATTTAGGATTCTCTGAGATTCATCTGTTGACATTTATATTTTATAAAAATGGTATCCCTCAGAACCAAATGGCTGCGAGGACTGCTGCAGGAGAGAAATCCCCTCACGTCCTGCTTCCTGCTAAGAAAGCCATCAGTATCAAAAGGAAAAAATAAATAAATCCTAGAGCATAACCATAAAAGGTGGGGCAACTAAGAGAACCTCTTTTTCTTTACATATATAGCTTTAGTGCTGCACGTAGGAAAATGTGTGTCAATGTATCACAAATTGAACACAACCCCATAATCTAATGCCCTGCTAATTAAATGTAGTCCTAGGCTGGATGAATTAAATGTTTAATGATATTCTTACAATATTATGTGATCCATGTGCATTCAGGCTTAACTTGGTTATTGTATATATATACCTACCTCATCATGAACATATACAATTAACCTGAAACTTTTAAGATGCATGAGATGCTTGGTTGGCTGCAGAAGGCCAACACGATTACTTCTTCTCTGGAATGTCACTGTACATGTCACTTTGCAAAAAAGCAGGTACAGTATAGTGGTTTTTATCCCCAAAATGTTACTGTTTAAAAATAGGAAAACAGATGAGAAGGACGGGAAATGAGAAGGATTGGTAAATGAAGGAGTGTGTGATTGTTTTAGCTAAGGTGAGTTGATTGGATCATAGTCAATGATAATTTCATTTTATTTCTGTGTTAAGATTCATGTGTTTTGTTCTGAATTCCACCTTTTAAGTAAGCCATAGACAGAATTGAAGGTAATCAATTCATAACACTTGATTTCCAAACCCTTCTCTTCAGAAAGTGAAGGGTTTGGAAATCAAGTGTTATGAAAGACTTGGGTCTTTCCAGAGAGCAGGATTGAGATAAGCAGTTTGAAATCAGAAGTATATTTACCAAGAACCTGTAAATAATGAAACACTGTAGCAGTGAAACTCATGGGCTATGGAAGCGATGCTCTGACTTCCACCGAAGGTATTGAGAAAGGGGCTTGAATTACATGGCTACCTAAGTACCATCTTGTTTGATGTTTCAATGCTTTTCATGTATTATCTCTCCCTTTTATCTGTGAACACAGCCATTGATACTTGTCATTTACATTGTAGTCCCGTTGTCCGTCCGTCCGTCCCTCCGTCCCATCCCCCCCAAGAATAGTAATCTCTGATTTGCTGCTGAGGGGATAAAATAGTGGAGGATAAGGGTTGCCTTCTGGTCCATTTTGTGGACTTCCATTAGGGCATTTGTATGTCCACAGTGGGAAGCAGGATGTTGAACAAGATGGGCTTATCTTGGTTTGAGTCAACAGGGCTTCTTGTTTGTTTTCTCAGTTACATCAATGATCCAGGATGGGTTTTTTAAAACAATTTTCAGCATTTGAGGCTGAATCCATCTTTAGCTTTCATGGTAAGTGGTCCTCTCCTTTTCCTTTTAAAAGCCTGTTGGTTAATGGCTGTGGATGGACTCGTTTTTCCATAAGGATGTATCTGAGAGCAAGAAGAGCCATGGTAGATCAGAGCAAGGTAAGCCCACTTTGCTCAGCCTTTGATTGTAGTTGGAAGCTGAAAAGCCAGACATGAAACAACACAGCTCTTTCTTATACATGCATATACCTTTTTTATCTATTGAACAAGCAGACTCAGTTATCCCACTTATTTGTTGTCAATAAAAAGACCTGGTCCTCCTTAAGAATATGCAAAGGCCTTCTAGATCAGATTAAAGTTTCACCTTGCTCAGAGTTCTGTTTCTTCAGTGGCTGGCCAGCTGTCTCATTCATTCAAGAAGTGAATGTATCATGCTGGTTAAAAGATTGAGCTATGAAACACAAATCCCCATTTATATTCATAGAATCCTAGAGTTGAGGAGGGGGGCATACAAATTTAATAAATTATTATTATACTTAGCAAGGGACTGTCAGGTTGGGTCCATGCATTGCAGTGTAACCTAGTTTATTGATTTCCCACAGCCTTACATCAAAATCTATGGTTTATAATTCACAATGGCTGGGATCATATGTTGCTCCAAATCTGAACCAAGGAACCCATGTTATGGGGCAATATAATGTGTGCCTGCTCTTCTGCTTTACGCCTCAGTATTTTACATCTGGAGTGACACTGACTTCCAGCATTATTCTTTCAATCAAGGAATTCTGGAAGTTGTAGACACAAATACCTGGAGAACATCCCGCGGAGTTGGCTGGTGTAAAGTTTATGGCTAGAAAATTAGCATGAAATACTTTTCCGTGATAGTCAGGTGTTGTGGATGAACTCTGAACCTCCATCTATGCTGCTGTTGTTTAGAACAGTGTTTATCAACCTTAGCGACTTTAAGATGCATGAACTACAACTCCCTATGCTGACTGAGGAATTCTGGGAATTGAAGTCCATGTATCTTAAAAGTTGCCAACATTGAGAAACACTGGCTTAGGACAATAGTGCTAAAAGTTACTTTTGTTTTCCTTTAGCTTCAGTCAGATGCTTTTGAAGATATCGGAGAGGATTTTTAAAAATGTTCTCTTTTCCGAAATGTTTAACACTTGGGGATAGACTTTGGCCCTGCATTCGATCTTCACTACCAAAGGCAGCAGCTGTTCTTAAGCTTGTGGTCCAGCTGAGTCAGAGGAATTTGGAAATGGTGCAAGCAGAAGAGCAGCCGAAGGCTGGGTAGGAAGGATAACTGCCAGAGTGGAGCTTAAATTGCAGGGGAAGATAGGTACTGTAAATGTATGTTCTCCTTTAAGTCAAATTCAACATCAATGTGGTGTCCTTGTCAACAGTACAGAAATGTGTTGTTGCTTCCTTCCAAGATGTTTGCAGCTTTGGGATTTCTAATGGTCTCCCATTCAAATATTAATCTGATACCTGATTCCAGATAGTGAAGTTTTTAGCTGGGTGCTGCCACCTAACTGCCTATGAGAAGTTGCAGTGGAATTAAAGACATAGATCCAGAATGAAGGTAGTATAATTTTAAATACTGACAGTTCTTAGGAAGAAATGTTCATGAGAAAAAGAGATGGCATTCCCAGTGATACTCTGTGAAATATGGCATTCCCAAAATATGTAAGGCCTCTGCACATCATTGGTTTGGAAAGATTTTAAAAACTTATATTTTTCCCAAGCTGGTGATGAAAATGATTGTTTTCATTTCAAGCAGGTTTTCACTGAATCTATTCATGTGAATTTTCTGGTAAGACTGTATTTGATTCAGTGGTGGGTTGCTCCCGGTTCGGGCGAGCCGGTAGTGGTGGTGATGTGACGTCACCAAACTGATTCTCTTTGACTGGGAGCTGGGCCCTCCCGCCCGCCCCTGTGTTATTCCTATCTTTATTTCTCATTTTTTAGCCCAGCTGATAGGTGCGGCACTGTCGATTGCCACACCTCAGCTGGGCAGAAACCTAATGCGCTTGCGAGGAGCGCAAGTTCGGCGTGCAAGTGAAGCGAGCAAGTGTGCATCGATCGCATGCAAAGCACGTGCGCGAAGAGAACTGGTGGTAACACTGGTTGGAACCCACCACTTATGATTTGGTATTATGTATTGGAGTATTGTAAGTCACCTTGGGAAGATAGTGGCCTTGAAAGTCAATCAAGAAACATTTTAAAGAATTATGAGAATGAAAGCAATCTCTCTGTTGGTTGGGCTTCTAGAATCCCAGAGAAATATTTTCTGCTGTTAATCTCTGCTTATCTGCATATTGATTGCTGGGGGGAGGGGGGAAATGTCCCTACCAGCAATCAACACCCAGATGAACAGAGATTAACATCAACATTAATATCAGACCAAAAAGAAGTAAACAATACTTCAAGGAACTGCCAAACAAGCTAACAGTAAACAACCAAAGAACCACTGAGACCACTCCCAATCAACATTGACAGGGCAAATGACTAGAATATAAATTGAGACCAAACTCCACTCCCTCCCTAGTTCCGATATCTCAGGGGTTACCACAAAGAAGAGGGAGTCAAGCTATTCTCCAAAACACCCGAAGGCAGGACAAGAAGCAATGGGTGGAAACTAATCAAGGAGAGAAGCAACTTAGAACTAAGGAGAAATTTCCTGACAGTTAGTACAATTAATCAGTGGGACAACTCACCTCCAGAAGTTGTGAATGCTCCAATACTGGAAGCTTTTAAGAAGAGATTAGATAACCATTTGTCTGAAATGGTATAGGGCCATGATGGCGAACCTATGGTACGCATGCCACAGGTGGCACCTGGAGCCATATCTGTGGGCACGCAAGCTTTGCCCTAGCTCCGTGATGGCGAACCTATGGCACAGGTGGCACACGGAGCCATATTGGTGGGCACATGAGAGTTGCCCTAGCTCAGCTCCAGCATGCATCCGTGCGCTGGCCAGCTGATTTTTGGGCCTTCTGGGCCCACCGGAAGTTGGCAAACAGGCTATTTCCGGTCGGTGGGAGTGGGGAAGGCTGTTTTCGCCCTCCCCAGGCTC